TCTCTTTCTTTCCACAGATGAATCCATTAACCCTCTCTCCAAAATCCATTTCAACACTACCCAAATAAAATCCGAAATCTAATCGAACAGAGGTTAGGGAGGGAAACAAAGATCGAAATCATACCAAAAAGCAGTGTGAACAGAGAAATCTTTCGCAGAGACCATAACGCCGATGGATGCAGCAGCTGAAGCACATTGCCCGATTCTCAGTAACAATCCACACGCAGTTCCCGGACCTCCGAAAATCTTCTTCATTTCAATGTACAAAAGAAACGATTCTTACTCTTCCCAAACCCAGAAATTCCGTTAAAATTCAGCGAGGAAAGAGGAACGAAATCGAACAAAACCCTAGTTTCGGAAATTAAAAGCTACATTTGCTTTTTTAGTAGGAATTTTGGCGGGGAAATGAAGAGGAACTCCATAGCTAAGAACAACCCTAGACGATGATTGTCACCTACTTAGGGGAATTTTTCCCAGATTCGATAATAAGCTTCTTCTTCTTCGTATTTCTGCTTTTTGACATTTTGTGCTTTTTAGCAAGTGGAGGACTGAGATGAAGCGTCCGACGTGGCAGAAAAATAACATAAAATTTGTCATTTTTGTTTTGGTAATATCGATTAAATTAAGTAAATGAGATAATTTGCTACCTAACAAAAAATTAACCAATTTCTCTTAAATTAATGGTCCTAGTATTAATTAAACTAAATTACCTGAAATCGGAAACGCGTATGAAAAAGTGAAATATTTTGAAACGGAGAAACATTTTTTATTAAATTTAGATATATTAAGAAAACAATAAATATATAATAGAATTGGTTCAATAACCATAAAAAAAAATTAAAATTCACTAACTAACCAAAATTTCTGAATCTAAAGGTTGAGAATTTGCCACATAGACCAATGATGAATATATGTATTAGTTTATAATTATTAACTACTGCCCTTTTGTTATGTTCTTAATCAAAAACTGTAAATAATTAAATTGAACCTATCAATTATTGCTCTTTGTTCTTAAATAAAGTAATATCATGTATGAAAATATTGAATAAATCGATTCTTCTTAATTATTTAGTTTTTTTTTCAAGTTAGGAAAATATTATATATTTTTACATTTCCAATTAGTTATTTACTATTAAGTTTCCAAAAGAAAAAATAGATATGGCCGCGTTACTAAAACGGAATTTATTTATTTCTCTAACAGAGACAATTGGATATTTCTGTAGCGCTTGTAAATACGAAAATCACGTTTTCACTGCGTTTTCAAAATCGTTAAGATTAAACCGTTAAGATTGATACACGTGTTTGAAATCTGGCCCTTGTAGGAATAAAATCCCCCGCGATTTTCCCGCTCTATCGACTCTTCCTCCGCCTTTCGTCATCATCACGAGATCTAAAACAAAAATCGCACTCATCAAGCTCTGACAATGGCGAACGAAATCGGATTTTTCGAACTCAACACCGGAGCAAAAATCCCATCGATCGGTCTCGGTACATGGCAGGCTGCTCCTGGAGTAGTCGGAGACGCCGTCGCCGCCGCTGTGAAGGTTCGTTTTCGATTTCCGTCTCATGGCTTCTCATTTCACTGATCGCTAGAGGTCTTGGGTTTCGATATTTACGCTCTGATTTCAGATCTTTACTGTAATTTTGTTTTCTATGAGTGTTGGGTTGGATCTCTCTCTGAGTTTAGGGATTGAATTGGGAGATTCGATTTCAATAGTTGAAGAACTGAAACATCATTTTCGTTCTGCAGATTGGTTATCAGCATATTGATTGTGCTTCAAGATATGGCAATGAAATGGAGGTAAATCCATTCTTAGTCTCACCGATTCTGACTTTTGTATCTCCCCAATAAAAACCTTGCATCTCTGTTAAATGTCGTTTTAGGTTTCATTATCTTCTTCACTGCTTGAGAGTTACATGGGATCTGAAATCATATGGACTAGAAATTTTGTAGAACAGTGTATATTTTGGTATGATCATCCTTATTGGATTCACCATTCTTTTTGGGAATGAAAATGACACACATTATCTTGTTAACTAGCTTTGATTTGTGGAGGATTGGTGGAGTTATTTGTTATATACTGTTTTCAAGTTCATTTATGTTTTTGCTATGGAGATATTGAAAACAAAAAAAATCACCTGCAGATTGGGAAAGTTTTGAAGAAGTTATTTGAAGATGGCGTAGTGAAGCGTGAGAAGTTGTTCATCACATCAAAAATCTGGTATTTTGTTCATAACGTTTCTGTTATCTGTAGGTTTCTGACGTATATTTCAGTCTCCCTCGCGTTTGCTTAGCCTCTATCCTTTTAAAACCTACAAATTATGCCATAATTATGCCATGACAGGTTGACTGATCTTGACCCTACGGATGTGCAGGAGGCATTGAACAGAACTCTACAGGATTTACAACTTGATTATGTCGACCTGTATCTCGTAAGCAACTACTCCTTTGAACTGATTATATTTTGTATAATCTAACAGTTTTCAAGATGTGTTCATTTCTTTGACATCTAGCCTGAATCGTGGTTAGAAAACTAGTTGGATCTCTGGAATTGAAACTCTAGTTATGCTTGCTTATACTTCAATTGAATCTTTGTTTTCAAGATGCACTGGCCTGTTCGGTTGAAGAAAGGCACAGTTGACTTTAAGCCGGAGAACATTATGCCTATCGATATTCCTAGTACATGGAAAGCAATGGAAGCACTGTATGATTCAGGCAAGGCACGAGCCATTGGTGTAAGCAATTTCTCTACAAAGAAACTCTCAGATCTATATGAGGTTGCTCGCGTTCCTCCAGCTGTAAACCAGGTTGAATGTCATCCTTCATGGCAACAACATAAGCTACACGAGCTCTGCAAGTCCAAAGGAATCCACTTGTCTGTAAGTTTGAAACACTAACATTGACCAAATCATTATAGACTCAAGGAATCATAAATCTCATGTTTATACACTTGGGGATATTGGATTGTCGCAGGGATATTCGCCTTTAGGTTCTCCAGGAACAACGTGGGTGAAGGCCAATGTTCTAAAGAACCCGGTTCTGAAAACAATTGCTAAAGAACTCGGGAAGTCTCCTGCACAAACCGCGCTTCGATGGGGTCTTCAAATGGGTCATAGTGTACTTCCCAAAAGCACAAATGAAGTGAGAATCAGAGAGAATTTTGATCTATCAGGATGGTCGATCCCAGATGATATGTTTGACAAGTTTTCTCAGATAGAACAGGCAAGTAAAAACTAAATACCACATCTTTACAAATTGCAAATCTACGGAAAACTAAAACATCATTTTTGGTGTTTGTGTTTGGATGTTGATTGTGCAGGCTAGGTTAGTCCAAGGTACGTCATTTGTTCATGAGACATTGAGTCCTTACAAGACACTAAAAGAGCTTTGGGACGGTGAGATATGAATAAAAAATGCACCTTTTTTCCTTTTAAGATGAAGAAAGAGAACTATTTTTCCACTGTTTAATGCTTAATCTATGGGAAAAACGTTTAAAAACTATTTAAATTTTCACTTCATTATGTTAGTTAAGTTCTTCCTGCAAATTAAGGTTTGATGATAATAGAATTTTGATAAAACCAGAACCAAAAATATGAACGAGTAGAGAAAATCTCAATTCAATCGAGACATCCTAAAATAACAAAACAAGAGGAAGCTTTGACTTGTCTCTCACTTTCTCTTCACTGTTGTTTGGTTTCGATCTTCTTCTTCTGCCAGAGCCTGTCAACGCCACTGTCTGCATCTCCCTGAAGTTTATTATGATGTTTCATTCAATCAAAATGTCAATAGATACAATCATAAAACTTTGCAATAACAATTGTGAGAGATTAATTCAAGCATTTTAAACGATGTGAGAGTAATTTTAAAGTAAATTAGTGGAAGAGTGATCATCACTTAATCACAAACCTGAGCTCGGACAAATCCGCAGAGAGCAACGGTTGAGAATTGGCTAGTGTAGATTCCATCAGTATCAAGATGACCAATGTTAAGCTGAACTGAAGCATGATCCTTCGATGTAATCAATCTGTTAGTGGCTGAGCTGCAATATTACAATCAGACAACATTAAGATTTAGTTCTGAATTTTAAATCAAAAACAACACAAAACATAATGTGAGGCTAAATATACCATTTTCTTGGAATGTAGAGCTCAGTGACGACTCCTTCGTTTTGCATTTTGAAAGATTTTTGCTTTGATCTGTTCCATAAGAAAAAACCGATAAACAAAAACAATCTGATACCAACAAAGAGATCATCAGGAAATCAAAACTTAAATGATTTCTTATACGTTTATGAGCTTAGCATAGAAACATAAATGCATGCAGCATGTGAAATTCTCACCTGAGAGACGAAGAAGAAGGTCTGAGAGGATATGAAGAAAAAGAGTTTCAGAGAGGACGTGAAGGATTGACTATTATACCCGTTTTGTGTTTTCTTGAACCAAAAGAATTTAAGAACCGAATCCCAAATTAAAGCGGGTATGAAACCAGAACTGAACCGGCATCGATTTGGTTCTGTACCATTTTTTATTTTTCTATTGAAAATCGAAACCGTTTCAAAACCGAATTTTTGAATTTTGATTTTTTCTCGCACAATTTTTTTTAGAACCTTTAGTTTTGAAGACAATATTGTTTCACAAGAAGGCGACAATGCTACAGATACAAAATCAATATACTCGACCGAAGAAAACTGGTGTTTACAAATCACAAACCCTCTCAATAATCCTGACATCGAGACACATCAAAAAAAGAAGAAACAAAATTAACCTAATGACTGTGACTTTTAATATTTGAAGAACGTACACAAGAATCACTTTCATCAAAAGCTTAATCCAAACACACAAACTTGTTTTATGTCCCGAAACTGCGGTCTCCAGCGTCTCCAAGCCCAGGGATTATGAACCTAAATACACAAGACAATGAAATTTAATCGCCAGTTCTCTTCACAAGAACAAGAATCCAAAAACATGTGCACAAGAGCCAAGCCTGACTTACCCCTTTTCGTTGACTTCAGGATCGATAATTCCAGTATATACATGAAGCCTGAAATGTTGCAGACAGTAAGTAAACAGTTTTAGTACAACCTCGCCTAATGTTAAACAAGTTAAGAGTCGATCTTTTGATATTGATACCTGGGGTATTTCTCGTTAAGCTTTGTTAGTGCAGGAGGTGCAGCAATCACAGAAATCTGTAATCAGGAAGACGTAAATACATAACTAAGGATATTCTGTAGCCAATGTTTCTGAGAAAGTCGGCCTCCTATATATACTTACCACTTTGATTTGCTGAACATACAAACCACGTTCCTTCAATAGGTCCATTGCCGCAATTATGGTACCGCC